GCAGTAATATTTGAAATTGTTTCAAATGAACAATTTCACTGTTTCACAGTGCATACAATTCTTTGTAAGTCTATTCAAATCATACTGATAATTAATGAAACTAATCCAGGAGGAACATGCTGTATTCAAATTAATTCAAGTAAAATCTCTTGACAATTTTTCTTTTGTCCTATTAATTTCCTCCTCACACTTGAGTAATTTCACACAAGTCATTTTGAGGGGGGTGCATTATGTCACATACTATGTCCACCCCTATGCCACAGAGTAAAAACATGTGGCAAGCACAAGAGATGCTTCAGCAACTGCAAAAGTCTTTTAGAAAAATGTGAATTGTAAATATGATCATTTTCTAAGCCTGAAATCTTTTCCCTCACAGTGCAGATCCCTCCTGAGTTTAACTTCTGAATCATGACCCAGAAAGTAAGCCACCCCCGCCCCTCCAACCCTCCACCATAGCAGCAAATCATTCCAGGAAGCTTCCACTGGAGGCCTATCTCTATCCTTTCCCTCAGTCCCACACATACACATACATCTTAGAAAACATTTCACAATGTTTGAGTGATTTCTCCACTGAACATGGTAAAAACACACGCACAAACATGCTCAGAAATATCATTTTCTCCAAAGTCACATTTAAGAATGCAACTACTCTTGCTAAGCTATAATATGCTTATCAGACACAATCATGTGCTCTACTGAATAAGAGCAGAATAATTTTTATCTCTCTTCTAACAGTCAACCTCAAACAAAGAAAGCAATCAACTAAATGAAGAGAGATGCATATTCTCGCACAGCCAGACTTTTGAACATCACCATAAAATAGGGTCCAGTTTGCAGCTAATTCTGGACAACAGGCATGAAATGTGACCAATCACAGTTGTTTCACATGCTTATTATGAACAGATTTATCTTAAATAGATCATGTAATTAAAACTAACTTAAAGGGATAGTTCACCCAAAATTGATTGAATGTTTTTTCATAATTTACTCACCCTCATGTTGTTCCAAACCTGTATGAATTCCTTTCTTCTTCTGCACACAAAATAAGATATTTTGAAGAATGTATGTTACCAAACAGTTGCTGGTAGCCACTGACTTCCAAAGTATTTTCTTTTTTCCATACAATGGAAGTCAAATGATACCAGCAAATGTTTGGTTAAAATATTTTCTTTTGCCCTCAACCGAAAAGAGAAGTTCTTATAGGATTTGGACAACTTCAGGGTGAGTAAATGATGATAGAATTTTCGTTTTTTGATGTGAACTATCCCTTTAAAGGGTTATTCCACACACACACACACACAAACACAAACACATTCAAATGTTTGGGGTCTGTAAGAATTTTTTTCAATGCTCTTATGCTCATTAAGGTTGCATTTCTTTGATCACAAAACACCCATTACTCTAGTCTTTAGTGTTACATGATCCTTCAGAAATTATTCTATTATTCTGCATACTGATTTGGTGCTCAAGTAATACTTCTCTTATCAATGTTGAAAGCAGATGAGCTGCTTAATATTTTTGAAGATACAGTGATCATTTTTTAAGGAGTCTTTGAATAGGAAGTTCAAAAGGACGGCATTTTATTTTATTTGAAATATAAAACTTTCTTAACATTATCCATGCCTTTGTCACTTAATTATTAAATGTAATGTGTCCATGCTAAATAAAAAAGTATTAATTTACAACTCAATTAACAAACTTAAAAACTAGGCAGAATACAGATACTTGATAGCAAGAACCTTAAACAAAACTCTTTAAAAAAAAAAAAAAAGTCTGGTGCTACTAACATAGAAAACATTATCATATCATGTGATTAGTCCTCAGAAACTCAAGTGCATCGACCCACTACCTTGTAAACACAAGCTGGAATGGTATCTGATTTCTACCAGCTCTTGCCAATTTTGTGAGCAATATGCATCAGACGGTCAGCAAATGGACTTTGGTCAGTCTGTGGGCCCGCCGTCTGAGGTTGAGACTGGAGACGGAGTAAATCAGTTGAAAGTCATAGAGGGAGAGAGACAGTGGGAGAAGGGCAGAGAAAGGTGAGCGCAATGAGAAGAGAACAAAAATTGGGGAGTAGATTTATGTTTCCACGGCTGCTCGAGTGCCAAGGAGCATTAGCTGAACTCATGAGCTGCAGACAGCTAATCTTTTGTTATGGGGAAATAAACACACAATGTTAGCCACCGTTTTACAGCCGCTGATCCAAGGCGGATGATAAAAGATCCAGTGGGCCCAGACCACACGGCTTAATGACCCTGAGAGCAACACACAATTTATAGGCTCTCGGTCCCCATCATCACTCCCTGCTACTAATTTATGTCGAGAAAGGGAGCTGGACTCATAAGAGAAAACAATTTTAGAGAATGACTAAAAACTGCTTTCATAATGGCAGTTCTCCAGCTAGGATCCCTTATACTTTTAGACTACGTCGTAGCCTAATAACCACAACAAGCTTGTCTTCATCGTTGTTTAGTTTGGTTGATTTATGAGACTCCGTCAAGAAGGAAAATTCCATGTAGCTGTGAACGGTTGCATCCTGTCATACAAATAAATTTGTTTGAGCACTGAATTAAAATGCATGTGATTACACCATGAGAATGAGAGCCATTAAAACAATGAGTTTGATTAATTGCTGTAGTCCTAAAACCTTCAACAAATCAATGTGTGGTAAGAATCCACTGGGAGGCACCTAATTCTTCCCGTTGTAATTGGGTCCAGCTACAATATTACGCCCCTAAATTCCAAAATCCACAAAGCCGGAATCCAAAAAAAGCAACACCACCTCTTCTCTTCCACAGAGACCAAAAACATCACAAGCATGGCTAGTTCGGTTAAGATATTCCAACTCTATACAGATGTTCTGCTTCTTTGCCTGGAGTGTTGTCAAATCAAACTTAATTGGTTTGCATTTGAGGAAACGGCTGTTCTGCAAGCAATACTTTAGAGAATTTTGTCATGGCTGCCTTGTGGCCGAGCTCTCTACCGTACGGCCCCTTCTGCCTGGTGTGAATGGCTCCTCTGTGTGACCAGCCAAGGATCTGCCGGGGGACCCTCTCTTTGTTAGGTGAATGGGCACAGCCAGACCATCTTAAGGCACACTAATGTACCATGGCTGGACCACAAAGAGTGTGTAGTAATTTGCCAAGCATAATGGCACGTCTTTAATTCGGCCGAGGGGGAAACAGACCCTTAAAAGCGAGCTTACAGATGAGGAGTCCCATTCTAGTTCCTACTCTATTCATATCGTAAAAGGGCTTGTTTTTTTCCGGCTCATTGTCATCCTGAACCAAATGTCGGCAAACAACAGTGGGTTGAAATTAAAACAATGCGGCGGCTCCTGGCCTCACTAAACAGGCCCAGAACACCATAAACAAACAAAAACAGAGCGTCTTCTCAGAAAGGCCCAATGATTGAGACCAGCTGCTAAAATTATGTCATTTAGCAGGATTAAATATAGTTTTGGGAGAAGGTGCAATGTAAAGTAAAAATACACATATAGTACAGGAGGGAGGAAGTGCAATATTTACAAAGTGCTTTGGGACTGAGAAGGTTGGAATTAACGACTTAAAGAAGTATCTTATGCTCACCAAGGCTGCATTAATTTGAACAAAACTACTGTAAAAACAGTAATATTGTGCAATATTACTATTTAAAATAACTGTTTTCTATTTGAATATATTCTAAAATGCAATTTATTCCTGTGATGGCAAAGCAGTACTTTTTCATTTTTCTTTGATAAACGGAAAGTTCAACAGCATTTGTTTGAAATAAAAATATTTTTTAATTTAATGGGTACTTGCTAAATAAAAGTTCTCATCTCTTACTGATTAGTTAGATATTTTTTCTTGCTGTTATGGGTGAAATGTATCTAAGAAATACCTGCTTTTTTCATGAGATTTACCCTGCTATCACGATTATGTTGGCAAAATCAAGAAGTCAAGAAACTACATCCTTGCTAATGACTGCGACTGCAAATGTATCTTTTCAGAAATCAATTTCAGTGAGGCTTCTTCGCAGAGCTAGTTACTTACACACCGACATACAAATGTATTTTCAGAAGAAGTCTGAAACATGAAAAAGATCCTGGTGATTTGTCAAAAACATCAACATACAAGCTTTAATTAGCTTACAAACAGCCAATTAAATATGTCAGCCTCTCTTACGTTTTCTTTTGAGGATGGAAAAAAGAACCTCAGGCTGTGCAGCTCCACAAATGCCTGCAATAAAAGTTTCAGCCCTTTCTCTTTGCCAGAACGCTCCTTTTCAGAACACTCAATTTCTGACATAGAATAAAGGGATTTGACTTGAAAGGCTCCCTGACTTTGTCCGCGGTCACAGAGACAGAGAAATAGAGAGCAAGGAGTGCCGGGGTGACAAAAACAAAAGACAAAAAGAGTAAGAAAGAGAATAGGAGGAAAACCTCACGCAGATTCTCCAGGAAGACTGGAGGTCTCCATTATGACTTGAGTTCCTGTTAAAGAAAGCTGTACTCAAGTATGGAGCAGATGGTAGAAGTGGAACTTTGACTAGACTCTTCCTCAAATTCACTAAAAAACATATCAAATGCATAATAAATACCAAACGTTCTAAATGTACAACATCTCACGTCCCTTGTCCACCAAAATAGTTCCATTTTTTTGTACCAGAGACTTTTTAAAGGCTACTCTGTTCAGGGCCTGGTTACAAATCCCTAAAAATGTTAACAACTAAAGAATTGTTTTACGTTAATGCAACAGTTAAATGATTTGTAATTTCTCATTTTACATGAAGTTTGATTAAATCAATTATGTCTTGTTCTACGTTGCGTCAATTACCTCACATGCTAACCTGACTGTACACTAGCTTAGAAAAAGTTCCAGATTAGGCAGGGGCACCTGCATCCTGCTGATGGAAAAGGGGCAAAAGTGAAGTACTTCTAAGGTTCTTTTGTTCCTCATGCTCCACATTCAGATAATTACATCTTGCAGAGTGTTTACAACAAAGAGAAACCTACTTACAGAGGCATCATGAGCATGTCATCTTTGAGGATGCAGGACTATTGCTGAAAGAGGTAGCAATCCTTCTGTAGCCTTTGGAGAGAGAATCAGAGGAAGCACATAAGTGTTTTATTTAGTGAAGCAAGAGAAGGAAGGTACATGTCACCCTACACTCATAAACAAACCACTAACCCTCTCAGTGGAATAGAAACTCAGGTCCTGGAGCTCTGTTGAAAAAGAGATGCAAGTATGTTACATAAGGAGGAGCACCAGCCACAGCTACTACACTGGGTTCCCAACCTTTTTTGTATGCTGAACCCCTATGACCTACATAATTTACTTGAAGTACCCCCTGAGATTTTAAATAATGCATTAGCAAGCACCGCAAATGACAAAGTGCTCTTTTCCAAAGAGGGTTTTTCAAACATTCTGAGTTCTTACCACCTTTTCTTTGCTGTTGCCAACAGTCCCATATACACTACCATTCAAAATTTTGGGGTTGGGAATTTTTTTTTTTTTTTTTAAGTTTTTGAAAGAAGTCTGTTTTGCTCACCAAGGCATTTATTTGACCAAAAATACAGTACAAACTTCTTCTATACAGTACAAATTTCTATTAAAAATAACTGTTTTGGGTTTAAATTTTTCTTTTTTAATCTAATTTATTCCTGTAATGATAACGTTGAATTTTCAGCAGCCATTACACCAGTCTTCTGTGTCACACGATCCTTCAAAAATTCTTCTAATATGCTAATTTGGTGCTCAAGAAACATTTCTTATTTTTTATCTATGTTGAAAAGAGTTGTGCTACTTAATATTTTTAGGGAATTTTTAAGGATTCTTTGATGAATACTGAACAAAGTTAAAAAAAGAACAGCCTTTATTGGAAATAGAAAATTAATTTTAATGCTATAAAAATTTCTGTCACTTTTGATCAATTTAATGCACTCTTGCTGAATAAAGGAACAAACTTCTTCCTAAACTATAAAAAATTCAACCATACTGACTGATAGTATATTTTTTCATACGTTATGTACTATAAAAATAACAAAACATTTATTAGGTGACTTCATGATTGCAGATTATATAAATTCATTGTGTAAAAGTTCAAGATAAACAATATCTTTTTCTTGAGTGCTACAAGTTCTTAACAAACTTTGCAATTAAAAGTGCACTACAGCATCCCACAGCTTGGACAACAACCATCCCTATACTGATAAGAGCAAAGCCCAGTTGTTCAGGACTTAATTAAGATTAGGAAAAGCAAAGAGAGAGGCCGTCCCACTTCATAAGCCTCCGCCAACCAGGCACAGGGGCTTTGTGCTCTCTTCGTCTCTGAGGATCTAGTAAAGGTTAGTTCAGCACTGTATAGAGCAAAGCAGAGAGCCGGAGTGAGACACTGGGCTAGAGTAATTAAGGAGTAAATAATGAAGCCTTTCAACGAACCCCGGCTCCTATGATCTGACTGACCGTGTGCAAAGGCCATGTTCAATAAATCAATTATCAAGCACTGAGAATTACTGCCTTAAAAGGTCACTGAAACGGAGAAGTTTTAGCCACAGGCCGATCAACCTCAACATCCTCAGATTCCACAGGTGGTTTATCTTCTTATGAAAGTCTTTTTTATGACACTCAATTACACTGCTTTTTTGCTTTTAAAATGAAATATCTCTTCCCATTACATTTTTTATGTCTTTATTAAAAAACATGCAGGCTTGCAGCTGGCAGGGTTGGATTATGGATCAAGTGGCCAATGAGGCCAGTGCCCCAGAGTCTCAGACTACCACGGGCCTTCAAAGCCTCGGGACATGCTGTCCGAGATTGGAAAAGAAAGCTGAACCAGACTGAATATAGTGCAAGTTGAACACAAGACCTCCAGAGCTATAAATAAAGTACAATCTGGCCAAATCCAGTCAATTTCTTCCACGTAACATAGCATAAGATATTTTGAAAAATGTCTTGTGTTTTATTTTCTAATACCTTATTTTGTGTTCTGTGGGAGAAAAGTAAGTCATACAGGTTTGGAACAAGGGTGAGTAAATGACCATTTTAATTTTGGGGAGAAATTTCCTTTTAAAATTAATATGAATATGAACAGGATAACTGCAGATTTGTCTTTTTTATGACACTCAATTACACTGCTTTTTCCTGTCTGGACTTTTAAAATGAAATATCTCTTCCCATTAAATTTTTTATGTCTTTATTAAAAAACATGCAAGCTTGCAGCTGGCAGGGTTGGATTATGGATCAAGTGGCCAATGAGGCCAGTGCCCCAGAGTCTCAGACTGCCACGGGCCTTCAAAGCCTCGGGACATGCTGTCCGAGATTGGAAAAGAAAGCTGAACCAGACTGAATATAGTGCAAGTTGAACACAAGACCTCCAGAGCTATAAATAAAGTACAATCTGGCCAAATCCAGTCAATTTCTTCCACGTAACATAGCATAAGATATTTTGAAAAATGTCTTGTGTTTTATTTTCTAATACCTTATTTTGTGTTCTGTGGGAGAAAAGTAAGTCATACAGGTTTGGAACAAGGGTGAGTAAATGACCATTTTAATTTTGGGGAGAAATTTCCTTTTAAAATTAATATGAGTATGAACAGGATAACTGCAGATTTTTTTTTAAGTCAAATTTAAGACCTGCTCCAAAAATTAATACTGTATATCAGTAAAGAGATTACACTGATTTAAATGCCAGATACAGTTTATTACATTACTAAAGTACCAATAAAAAAGACTTTCTGCATACTGCGGGATTTATATTTGTATGTCTATGCTTTACTACTTCCAGATGCTCATTTAAAAAGATGAGAGAGCTAAAATATTGGGGAGAAATTTCCTTTTAAAATTAATATGAATATGAACAGGATAACTGCAGATTTTTTTTTTAAGTCAAATTTAAGACCTGCTCCAAAAATTAATACTGTATATCAATAAAGAGATTACACTGATTTAAATGCCAGATACAGTTTATTACATTACTAAAGTACCAATAAAAAAGACTTTCTGCATACTGCGGGATTTATATTTGTATGTCTATGCTTTACTACTTCCAGATGCTCATTTAAAAAGATGAGAGAGCTAAAATATGCACTCTACAAAATATGACGATGTTTACTTTATAGTGTTTATAATTCATCAACAGCAAATCTTAAGCATTCGTTTGGGATAAATTAATGATATTTATTGATTACGAACTGCTCTGAAACTGCGAACCTGCAGAATGTGCAACAACACAACATTTGACTTTGAACGTGCGGCGCTGACATTCATTTAATCACAGGATTTTGATGTTTAATAATCACATTAGAGTGTATAATGATTTCGGTTTTCCCATCCTCAAATTTCAGACTTCTTAAAATGACAATTAAGATGAGGTAATTATACCATTTAAGATATTTAAATCTTTTATGGCCTTAAGGGCGTGTTTACTCTTGGCAGGTTTGGTTTGATTAAAATGAACTCTAGTGCGATTGCTCTGTTAGTGCAGTTCATTTTAATAAGTGTGTACACGGCCATCCAAACTGGTGGTGTGCACCAAATGAGCAGACCAAGACTCACCTTTTCAAGGGGTCTCGGTCCACTTCCAAATGGTTTGACTGATATACAAACACAACCAAAGACATATAAACAAACCAACAAGATGTCACATGATATGACCCTAAAATGGACAAAATGCTCAAGCATACCTGGTTCTTCTTATTACAGGAGTCATGTTGCTCATTACAGTTGTGTGCAGTAGAGGAATTCCTAGCACTGTTTTAACTCCTTTACCCATTTTCTAATCTCTTTGAGAGATACTACCACAAGTACACACATACAACGAATGCACACAGCATTGTTTTGGATGTTCTGTAAGTTCACAAAATATACATCATAAAAGCTGTCCAATCAGATTATGACTGTATTCTCATGCCTTTCGTTTTGCATCTTTGTCCATTTTAGGGTCATATCATTTGACATCTTGCTGGTTCGTTTATGAAAAGGTGGGTCTTGGTCTGCTCATTTGGTGCACACCACCAAATTGGATAGCATAAGTGTAAGTCTCGCGAGAACTAAGTTTGGTTTACAGCAAAGGAAAGTCAGTCTCCTCTAATCTTATATTGAAATCCTCCAATGTTTTTTTTTACAAATCCTCGTTTTGTACTTCTAATTCTCCTTTGCGTTTCCACATTCATCACTTCTCGCTGGAGCTTACGCTACACCTACGTCATCCGCTGGAACGCCACTTTCTAGTGAACGCACGTATAACAGCAGAAGCTAGAGATTAGTGCTGGGCGGTATGACCAAAAATTTATATCACGGTATTTTTCAAAATTATACCGGTTTCACGGTACAAGACGGTATTTTTTTTTAGATTATGGTTTAAGTTTTAAATATGGATATTTTTCTTACGCAAATGCATCACTTCACTTCAGAAGGCCTTTATTAACCCCCTGGAGCTCTGTGGAGCACTTTTAATGATGGAAGGATGCACTTTTTTTGGCTTCAAAATCTCAACCCCCATTCACTGCCATTATAAAGCTCGGAAGGACATTTTTTAATATAACTCTGATTGTATTCGTCTGAAAGAAAAAAAGTCATATACACCTAGGATGGCTCGAGGGTGAGTAAATCATGGGGTAATTTTAATTTTTGGGTGAACTATTCCTTTAAGACTATCTAAGGACCGACGGGACTGAATTACATGAGAATGTTAATCTGGAATAAAATACACTGCATTATGTGCATTTCTTTAAAGACTTTCCTTGAAACACCACAAAGAGTTCTTCAAACTCTTCACTAAAGAATTGTATCAAACTGCTGGAAATCCCTCAGGACATATGAGTAATCGTGGTTAATGATATGCGATAAGCTTTGTTCAATGGTCTCTTTGGGTAATATCAAGTTTAAGGTTACAATTCATAGCTTTACCATTTAATGCTTTTTCACAGCTGGGAATAAGCCCAGGAAAAATGATTCATTAAAGGATGACTAAATGAGGCTTATGTTAATCACCCATGTTGAATGCGACGAACCGCGCGCTGTGGTAGGAATACGATGTGCCGGCTCACTCTCGGCTCACAACTAAGCACATTGTTGCTCGGGTGGGGGAT